GGGTGGGGGGGGGGGGGGTTGGTGAAATATTGCATACTCCTCATAGTCCAGCGCTACCTTTCCGGTCCCAAACTTGCTGTACTCTATTCCGATCCAGATGAATCCGGCTGCCTGAGGGATGACCCATAAGGCGAAAGAAATCCATGCTCGTCTAGTTTGGGACCAGCGTGTCAGATCCAAAAGCCTGCCGTACGCAATGACCATGAGGATAGTGACACTCGCTAAGGGAGAAAATATTAGAGATTTGGAGGTTCTATGGACAGGTTCGGTATCGAATGCACTCACGCGTAACCAGAGACGACAGTGCGCGCGCCCGCACCGAAAAATGTAGCGTGAGGTAGGTACTCATGGTTCCGCCCATGAAGAACGAGTAGAAGGCGGGCACTGACATGAGCCAAGTCTGCAATGATGATTAGTCCTTGATATGGGGAGCAGTAGAGGGTTCTCTTGGAGAGAAAGGGATGCCGACCTTTCTGCGCTGCAAGTGTTTCCATAGTGCGAAAAGCTCCTGCCTCCAGCTGAGCCTCCCCGGCATGGGGATTACGGAACCATCCGAACGTCGCACGCGCTTGGAGGGTGATAAGAGGAAAGCCCATATCAAACCAGTGCATTCTGTTTGTGTGTGTGTTCCCACGGTTAGACGCGTTGACCACGGCCACTCTGGCTTGCATCTGGATGACGAGACTCACCGAATCCAACAAAGATGAGGTACGTAGACCAGGCAATGCCTCCTGAATTAGCCTGGGAGTGGTTGTTGGAAAAGTTGATGGCGCCGCCAATAACGCTGCCCGAGTTTCGCATGGCAGACCAGATACCTAAAGACCATATCGTCAACATGCATCTTCGTCCAAGGGATCGGTGGTTGGCCTACCCAAATAGAAGCCCCTGTCGTTTGCCTTGGGGTATGATAACATAGCGGTCGTCTCAGCAACATAGAGGAAGCCTGATGCGAACCCTCCGATCACCTATGGTATTGTTAGTTGTGGAAACTAATCAGTATGCGCGGATCGAGAACCACCCACCCTTGCGGTGAGGAGATACCAGTCAACATGGTACCTAGCGCTGACATAGAAGGCAGAGCCAGCAAGAGGCATCGCCACTGCTGCAACGATGCAGGACCATTTGATACCAAACTTGTTGATCAAGGGACCGCCGAAGAGCGTGAGCAAACATCCAGCCGCGTATTGGAGTCCGTTTGCCAAGTTTGCAAGGTATGGTGTGGAGAGTCCACCACCTCCAAGGTTGGAGATGGCGTCAGACATGGCCGGGCCAACAAACGAAAGGCTGTATTTAAAGACGCATTTTAGTATCTTGGCATGGCATAGACAAGACCTCTGAGGATGGTGTGGGAAATCAATTGTGACTTACGCGCCAAAGAGGATCATCTGGAACAAGACACCCCTGTAGAATTTTGAGAACTTCGGAGCACGTAGATACGCCTCGTCAATTTCCCCAAGGACCTCACCATCGTAGGCATGGCTGATGCTGGTGCCCAATGTGGTCTCCTGAGGGACTTTGTTATCGTCGGGGTTTGTCTGTGAAGGAGTCGCCATGGTCTCTATCAGGGAGGAGTCGCTTGCGATGGGACATGAAGCCAGGAAGCAGAAGATCAACCGGCATCTGGGCTGTATAAGTACTAGGTCAATACTCCCTCTATCATTACGAGGCCTATCTCTTCTCCCCCTCCTCTGGTCTAAGCAGACTTGGCGACGGTTGCCCGTAAGGTTTGATAGCGGCAAGTCATGTGAGCGCTGAGCATTACCCCAGATCTGCGGGGTGTCAAGTGGTAGTCTGCGGGCCGGGATTTCTTGGCTATCAGGGGCTGCTCACCCGGTCCCCACAACCGGAACCGGAAGCTTATCTGCATACGTAGACAAAGGACCTAGTACTTGGCCCGGCTACCTATGAGTACTACTGACCCCGCACCCCGCAGCTGATCCGGTCCGGCCGGCTCACACTGGATGCAATCTCGTCTCATCTCGTACCATCTCCTAGACCCTAACATGGCGTCGAGGCACAAGCCCATCCGTGGGGAATGAGCATCTAAGCCGAAAGCGGAACACACAAACATATTTATCCATTCCTGCTACCTTATAACAGGCACACTCAGCTCTGCACCCAGCGCGTCTTATCTCGGAGTAGCATGCTCGCGTTGCCTGCTTGTGTATTTGCCCCCAACGAACCTAAGGTGCCGTCCTCTCCCCCAAGCCATGCCCCGTTCCCCGCTTCCTGTCCAGGACGCCACGGCTTCCTTTTGGAGGTCGGCCCCGCACCCACTGGACAACCACCGCTCTACTCCTGAGCTTCCCACCACAGCAGACATCGTGGTTATCGGGGCTGGGTATGCCGGTGTCGCCACGGTCTATCACATTCTTGACCACTGCAAAACCCGTGGTGTCTCGCCGCCCAAAATCGTCATTCTCGAAGCTCGACAAGCATGCTCCGGGGCTACTGGACGCAATGGTAAGCCGGGTTGCCTGTACATGACTCCAATTTCTGCAGGGCTCTGATAATGATACCCTTTAGGCGGGCATCTCAAACCAGATCCCTACAATCGACCCGGGAGTCTTGCCTCTACCTACGGCATCCAGGAAGTCGCCAAGTACGCGGAATTCGAGGCAAAGAATCTTACCGCCGTGAAGAAGGTCATTGAACAAGAGGGCATTGATTGCGACTTCGTCTACACCCGGGCCGTCGATGCATTGATGTCTGAGGCCATCAGTGACCGGATAAAAGCTGGAGTCGACCTGCTTAAGAAGAACAATGTTTCGGTGATGGACGATGTATACTTTGCCCAAGGCGCCGAGGCGGAACGAGTAAGTCGAGTGCCAGTTTAAGACGTAGCGGTATTATCTATGGCAGCATGGCACTGACAACAAACCTAGTTGTCAGGCGTGAAGGGGGCCAAGGCCTGCTTTTCCTACACTGCCGCCCACATGTGGCCGTACAAGCTCATTCTCGCCCTGCTTTCCAAGGCCGTCGACGCCGGTGTGAACCTGCAGACGCACACGCCTGTCACAGCAGCCGCCGTGACACCCGATGAGGACGGCTATCTGGCACTTACAACTCCTCGGGGGGTGATCCGCGCAAAGAAGATCGTGTACGCGACCAACGGCTACACGTCATCGATACTGCCCGAGTTCGCCGACAAGATCGTACCCGTGCGGGGCATCTGCAGCCATATCAAGCCCGGAAAGGCTGACGCTCCTCTGCTGCGCAACTCATACTTGATCCGCTGGTCAGACACCGAGTACGAGTACTTGGTGCCGAGACTTGACGGCAGCATCATTGTCGGAGGCGCGCGCTCTGTGTACTACCATGACCTGCAGAGCTGGTACGACAATGTCAACGACGACAAGCTGATCGATTTGGCGAAGACTCACTTCGATGGATATATGCAGCGCGTGTTCCACGGGTGGGAAGACAGCGGCGCGTACACGTCCAAGGTGTGGACTGGAAGTGAGTGGACATGACGGATTCCCATTCCACCTATTCTGTGTCCCAGTTCGCTAACATTACGGCCAGTCATGGGCTACTCATCTGACGGACTACCTCATATCGGTGTCGTTCCAGGAAGGCAAAATCAATTCATGCTTGCCGGCTTCAACGGACACGGGATGCCGCAGATCTTCTTGTCCGCGAAAGGCGTGGCATCGATGATTTTGGACCAGCTGAGCTTCCAAGACACGGGTATCCCAAAGATATACGAGGCCACCCAGGCGAGGTTGGACAATCCCAGGAATTCGATACTGGAGAGCTGGAAAGATGCCCAGAGGAGGCAAGGAGCAAAGCTATAGCCATGCCTGTATCCGTGCACGCGCTGGCGTTCGAGCATTTCAAGAGACAATAGGTAGTCTACATTAAACCTGCTTCAATATTTATGCAAGAGTTCCCCTGAGGCAATAGAGAAATAAGAATACATATCCTCGCTGGAACGAACTATCTACGTTATCTCTAGGAGCCTCGATGCTGGTATGCAGTCTCTTTGAGTGAGTGAAGTGTTCATATGAGAAGAAGCTTTAGAGGTGGTCAGCCAGTTTGATATGATGCATGCGAGGGAGGATACTCGAATTCGACCTGCGCAACCGTGCCTAAGGTAGCCATTGTATATTTATTTCATTTCAAGTCATAGAGCCCCAACCTAGGAGAGTACATTCCACACGTAGACCAAAAGACAGTCCCATTACAGCTCTACTTTACAGATTTCCACAACAGCGTCCAGAGAGAAATTTATGAAGCTCCGGTACGTCGCGACAGTAGACGCATCAAGATGGCTAGGATACGTCAGAGTAGTCTGCGTTTGCGGTCTCAGCGGGATGCCCGATGCGATGATGTCGTCTCTGGGGTCGCACAACTCGGGGTATTTGCTGAAGAAGATGGGATCGATCTTGTAGTACGACGCTCCGCAGTCCATCTTCAGATGCTTGAACACGACACGGGCGTACTCGGGTGACGAGAAGAAGGTCTTGACGTCGGGCGCGGGAAGCATGGGGACGAGACAGCTTTCGTGATTTTGCTCCTCGAGAGAAGACATGCTCGCGATCAGATCGGTGACCCGAATGTAGACCTTTGTTGGCTGCGCCCCCATGACCAGGTCCGATAGGCTTGCCTCGACAACGTACGCGCTCACTGCATCACAGAATATCTGGTCGATGCAGGGATGGGCTGCGTGCAGCTGGATGAGTCTGTCTCGAATGGACGAGAAAGGAATCCAGTCGATGACGCAGGGGTACTGAGACTGCAGCCTGGTTTGGAGCGCGGTCGGGCGATAGTGTTTGTGTACTCTCAGGTAGGTTGAGTCGCACGGAAACATCTGCCACGTTACGAGTTCTATGATGTGAAAGAACCGCGTCTTTGCGTACCAGTTCATGACGTCCGGCCGGGTAATGCTGTTGAACATGGCCAAAACCGCCGAAACGAATTGATAAACGCTAGGGCAAATAATATGAGCAAGGACTAGTCCTTTTCCCATTCCCAAAGAGTCAAAAGGAAATGCAGCCTCTGACTTACGACCGACAATCATTTTTGGTGGCTAGTCTCGGCTTGTTAAGCTTGGCCTGTAGAAGCTGTCTGAGAACCATAATGTGATCTGAGAAGGGTGAATTAGACTGTGTCCATTGTGACCCGGAGATGGATGCTGAACAACGGCCGTAAGCCATGGCGTTAAAACAAGATTGGCTGCCCGTTTCATAATTAAGAGTCCAGATATTTGGAATCTGCTGGGCTTTCAGGGGCGACATTATCCACTCCAGGTCCGCTGTGCCATGATCGACGGTGGACTCATCCGCGAAGACAAGTGATGATTCATTGGGAAATTCGAACACGGCGTCAGTCACCAAGGCGCTGCCCACAGTCTTTTCCGCGGACAAGAGGCTATCCTGATCCAAGCAAGTAAAGGGGCACAGCAGTGGTTGCGTTCTAGGTTCGACTGGCTGGGCGTGACGGATGGTTGTCCTGGGTCCCGCTGACTGCTCTGATGTTCCCGACTTTTCTGAAGATTCCTCTTCGATCGTTCGAGACAAAGTCTGAGTGCGAGTCTTTGAAATGGAGTCGGTGATCATCTGGAGGGTCCCCTGAAGGCCCTCGAGACGAGACTGGACTTCGGTGAGACGTCTGCGCAGGAGACCATTCTCTTGTTCAAGAGCCACGATTCTCTCGGTGTCGGGCCTCTGAGAAGCTTCCGCACGGCTCAGCAGCTCCTTGACGTATTCATCTCGTCTGCGGCGGAAGGCTCGTTGGGACAGCCGATTCCGGATCTTCCTATGCATGTGTAAGCCGCAACGTACACAGCGCCCGCGCTTTGGGGACGATACAACAACATACTTCTTTTCGCGTTCGTCAGCCCCTGGCGACATAGCAGAGAATCGACTGCTCAATCGATGTCAGGCTGGACTGACTAATGCTGGCCGTGTAATTTCGGTGGAGCGCTTGTCATCCGAGAGCGACTGGCCCTTGGTCGAGCTACAGGTCTGGGCCCAGGCGATTAAGAATCGGTCAAGAGGCGTCCAATGAACGGCCCTACGAGGATCCCTTGGTCCTTGGGATTACTCGCTCTACTCTAGGAAGCCTTCTCTGGCTCCTATCTCTTGATCTTGGGTCCCGCATGATAAGACCCGGTTAAAGTGCCTGTGCCGGCGTCCCGGTGTTGTAGTTCTTGCCGGTGCCGGGGTTTCCACCGGGGTTAGTGCCAGTGCTGGGGGCGTGATGAACATTGGGAAGGCTGTCTCCCACTAACCCGGAGATTATCCCAATCCGAGATCAATAATATACTGCGAAGCGCCCACCTGAAGAACAGTCCAGGGGACTGCTGTGCTTATCGTAATGGTAGTGGTCGCCAGATCTTGGGGTACTGACCCACTACCAAATGCCGGTGGGAGCTAGAAGCCCACATCCGGGCATCCGGTCACAAATTTTGGCCAGAACCGGCTTAGGAACCGCCCCCTCCACTGGTTGGTGCGGGGGAGGAACAGAAAATCCATCTAGTGCGAGAGAGAGAGTGCTGCTTGCACATTTGTATTACTAGCGAAAGTTCCCCTTATTAACCCCAAGACCTTGTCTGGTTCGAGAAACCCCGTCCAGCCTTCCCATTGCCCTGGCACCAACCACACACTCCATTAACCCCCTCCCTACCTATTCTGCACACCCACCCTTTCGTCGCAGCCTCCTCCACACCATCCCCTTTGCGCCATGGCTGCCACTAAGAACATTGTCTTCGACGTCGTCGGCACGCTCGTGACCTACGAGCACCTCTTCGAGGCCATCGACGAGCGGTTGGGCGAGAAACTCCGCGCCAGAGGCATCCAGCCGAAGCTCCTTGGATGCTGCTGGCTGGAGGTGGCCGAGCGCGAGTACACGTACCTGTCCATGTCCGGGCGCTACGTCGTCTTCTTCAAGGTCTTCGAGGCCTTGTTCTACCGCTGCCTCCACTACGCCGGCGTTGAAGACCCGCACGCGTTCGCGAGCTCAGACGACGTCTCCTTCCTGATCGGCGAGTGGAAGAAGTTGAGCTTGCGAGAGGGCGCGGCCGAGTGCATCAGCAAGCTGCGAGCGGCCGGCTTCACCGTCTACTGCTTCACCGCGGGAGACCTTGCCCGCGTGGGAGGCTACTTCTCTCGGGGCGGCGTCGACATGCCGTCCGAGAATCTGCTGTCGTGTGACACGGCCGGGCTGGCCAAGCCAACACCCGAGGCCTACGCGCCCATTCTCTCGAAGCTCTCCGCCGACGGGCGTCCGCCGTGGTTTGCGGCCGCACACCTGTGGGACGCGTCGACGGCCAAGACTGTTGGGTGAGTGCCTTCCCTCCCGAGTGGATACTTTTCTTTTGCCAAGTCTCGATAATGATCTGACCCCCTTTCTCTAGATTCAAAGCTGCTTATTGCACTGCCTTGGAGGGTGAAGCGCTGCCTGAGATCTTCGGAGAGATGGATGTGGTTGCGGATACACTCCCCGCCATGGCAGACAAGATCATTGCAACTTTTAAGCAGTAGGAGAGCGGTGTTGTGTGTGGCTGAAGACTTGAGCTGTCGTGGCAGGGCCCCTCATGACGAGGCCCTTGGATGCGCATCCCGACAGTGCGGTTTAATAGATGCATTGACGGAAGAGTGAATCGCTCAGGCGCCAGTATCGAGAGAAAAATGGTAGCGGTGCACAATGGAGACAAGTAATTAGCCTGTTCTCTCCTATTTTGGGATCTATTCCAGATGTGACTTGTCCCATCGATTCGAATACCGTAGTACTTGGTATTGGCTATGGTCCTAGCCAGTTGCTCCTATTTCCGGCAGTGTCTGTACTATCAGGGCTGGGTCCGAAGCTGTACCCAAGGAATGACGAGAACTCGTCCAAGGTTTGAGGGAACGGCGCAAAGTTCCCGTCCATGCCGAAGAACGGCGTGTACGAGGGCATCGGCACGGTACCCAGCCTGTGAGGCGGCCCCTCGGCGGCCCTCCATGACCCAGCTGGTTGGGGGGCCATGGGCATTGGGATATCGTGTGGCCGGTCGCCCATCATCTCCATCGCCGCAGGGTCGCTCTTCCACAACTGCTCCCACTTCTTGAACCGGGAGTACGCCGAGTCGGCTTTCCCCTCCGCCGCGACCGAGTCCAACTTGGCGATCACCCGCTCAAAGGCCTCGATCAGCGACACCTCGGTCCGCGCCGACTCGCCCCCTACCGACATCTCCTTGAGCATCGACAGCCCATCCCGCAACGCCCTGCGGAACCGGTCCGTCTTCTTCTGCAGGCACTGCGTCGTGATGACCAGCAGGGCGGCCCGGCAAGCGCTGAACTCTGTGTAGGACGCGCGCGAGAGGCCGATGCTGGCTCGGAGGTGTCGGCATATGTCCACTACCGCCATCGAAGCCTTGATGCAGTCGTTGACTAGAATGGAGCGTGGATGGCTCTTACTTGACGGCGATGCGCTGCTGCTGCTGCTGCTGCTGCTTCGAGAGGAGTCTCGGAGGAAGATAAAGGCTCGGCCGACGAAGATGTGGATCAGATAATACTCCAACTGTAGATGCATGCCCATCCGAGTGATTGTTGACTGCGACGTGAGCTCCTTGGAGAATGTATGATCTGGTAAGGCCTCCCACCAGGAGACGAGCTCGCGGTGTAGCTCGATGAGCCGTCCCAGTCCGTTCGAAATCTCGTTCTTTGAGCATGTTCTGAGTATTGATCTGGGGCAGTTCTGGGGTCAGTAGACGTCAGATAGCACGGATATGATTGGTGGCCTACATCTCGTGTGACATTTTACTGAGTACCTGGTTCAGATGCAAGGTCGCGAGGAAGTGCGCGGCGTGAACTGATGTCGACGGCCAGATGTCTGGTCTATCAACAGGCAGGTCTGCATCTACATCGGCTGCTGAGATAGATAACGGTCTTCCGTGGAATATACCCACTCGCCTAACTCCCATTTAGTTCTGTGATGGCCTGACTCTGCCTCCAGTAATCGAGTCGGAATTGGGATGGGAAGTCGCGTACCTCTCAATTGTGTAGACTGTCCACCAGACACGATTCCTCGTCTCGCGGATGCTAGGATCTAGCCCTTCCCCTGGGTACTTCCTGTGCATCCCGTTCTGAATAGCAAGCCTCACTGCCAGATTCAGGTAGATGTAGGAGAGCCCTGCCGCATCGAGCGGCAAGGTGTAGATGCCGATCAGCATACAAGCCTGGACGCTCTCCAGTGAGGATATCGTAATGACGTCTGGCAGCAGCCGACATGCTTGCTGATAGAACATGATCCCGACGGTGTCCTCGGAGAACAGCTCCGAGCCAGCCTGATCATGAGCGCGAGGGTCTCCAAGCTGTTCAGCGTCCGACTCGAGATAAGCATACTGCGTGCCAATGGCGAGCACCATGAAGATCATGCACACCGCTCCCACATCTCGACGAGACAGTGACCCAGCATTCTCGTACACAGCGTCAAACCTATCCGCGAGCCACTCTTTCTCGACGTACCAGTAGTTTGCCTCTGCATGCTTGAAGAACGAGTGAAAGAGAAAGCTTGCCACGAATTTGGGAGGAAGGGAGGACAGAGAAGTGGTAATGTTGGAGGGAGACTGTAGGTCCTCGGCGCGGTAATACTCTTTATAATTAGTCGAGTTGGGTGCTTCCTTGGGGACGCTTTGTTCGATCCATTGCTTTATCCTCATGGAAAAGTTCCAATGGGAGAACTCGCCGGAGTAGTCTAATCAACATTAGTTTCCAGCCGCAGGTCATAGGTCCGGAGGAGCCAGGCCCAGAAGGAGAAGCACTTACGTGTGATATTGTTATCCAGTGGCTCGATAGTGAAGTTCTCCTTGTCAACGCCAACGGCATCGGAGCTGTTTGATGAGTCGTTGGTCGCCAGCGGCAGCCGGGGCGGGGACCTTTCTCTGTCGATATTCTCGGCCAGGCTCCGGAGAGACTCCGAGTCGAAGCTGATGTCGCCGACATAGCGCTGGACAATCTTCTCCAAGTACGCCACTCGTTGTGGCAACGCTGCAGGGCTCCGTTCAGCAGATGCAGAGGCTGAAGCGGAATGAGACCTTCACGACAAGCCGTTAGGACGTCCTCCTCCGAGATCTGAGTAACACTGCCGGACCTGCCTGAGGTCTGGGGACATAGGTAGACATGGGCGGCATAAAGTTCTCGCTTACCTAGGGACGACTTGTGGAACCGGCTCCGAAGCGAAGTCGAATGCAGCAGCAGGTGCATCAACGGTCACTTGGCTGACGGCCCGGCCAGAGAACTCGCATCTGTGGCCGATGCGGGTACATCGGCGGCAGGGCACGCCGCCGTCGCATTTCTCCTTTTGCCGGCGACATACGTCACAGCTGTGAGGTTCTTGTTAGATCTGTCTGAAAAGTAGTCTTGCAGGACACCACATACGCCCGGGCGACTCGCTTCCGCTCACGGCCGGCGATCCGGTGCTGCCGTTGCTTCTGGGGATCCGGAGGTGTTTCCATGTGTGAAGCACGGGGGGGCCGGGTTTGAGCTGGGATTCGATTTCAAAGACATCGGACATCGGGTCTTGTCCGGTTGTGGTGCGAAGTTCCAGCACTGGGGGTCTTGCGGGGTAGAGGCAAAGATGGCTGGTCAACGGAAGCCAGACCGGATGCATGGATATAGTAAGGTCCCTTCCCCTAACTTTGGAAGCTGTTATCTGCTGTACCGACAAGTTGAAGGATGCTCTAGACCTCAAAGGGTTAGAACGGGGCAATGGCTGCCCCTCACAGAAAGGCTAGAACTTGACATCTCCACTTGTCGCCTCCAATCCGGCGAAATACCTGTCCTACTGGAGCAACTAGTAGAGGTAGCCTCTTCCACGAAAATTCGACAAGCTCTCGACACGCGTCACTCCCCCGAGGCCGTATGCAGATCTCCTTCTGCGCCGAGGCGCACGTTGTCAGGTGCTTCAATTGCCATGAAACCGACCACGTTACAAAACGCTGCAAGTGGAAGAAAGCAACGGTGCAGTGAGGCTGAGGCAGCTGTTGTCGAGTTGTCAGAGGTTGCGCGTGTACGAATTCCTGACGTACCTCCTCCTTTGCCATTGCCCACGGTGCTTAGTCGTTCTAGAGAAGCCCAGAATTCAGTGCCTCTAGGGCCTTTGATCTCTCATGTAACAGGCATGCCGGAGGACAGGGAACAGCGGCCACGACGCTCTGCGGCCTGGTGGACGAGCTTTCTGTGTTCCAGAAACTATCGTGACAATTCCAACCTTGGTATGACTGGGTGAGATGTGAGATGTGTATTTCTACTGGTCTCTAAAACTGGAACGCTATTTAAGGCGAGGCACTTGGGTGCTAGTTGCACATACATTGTGACCAAGTCCCACTGTGCTTTCTTCACACAAAAACCCAGGAGTTGAATCTGGACTTTATTGTGTCGATATCCAGTAAGGAATAGCTTTAGAAAGAAATCTCCCCAGACTCTCCCGGGTAGGTTAGCATCTGATCGTGCGGGCCCAATTCAATGCCTACTGATAGAAAAGCATGGTCGATATTGGCTTATGAAGGCATGTTTGCAATTTTTATACTAGGCTAGTAGTAATACAACCGTGCATCATGAAGTAGTCATCGCGGTGCTTGTTTCACTACATAGTACTCTCGTAGTCCGTCATGCTCAGCTCGCTTCTTGGCTGTTGACCTACTGTGGCGGAGCATGGCCACGGAGTAACTAACACACAGTTCCTTTGCTTTATCCCGGTTTGGAGCGGACAGATCTACTGGAGCCTTGCCTGCGACCCTGTCTAGGAAACAACCGGTATATTAATGGCTTCACAATCCAGGATGTTCTCTTTTCGGTCTCGACCTCCCACGCCGCTGTTCGGCCAGACTTGCTCCAAAAATTGCGGGTTGTATCGGCCCAGCCGAGTGACGTGAGTCGGTACCCACCTACCGAGGCGCGATGTCCCGCTTTCGCAGCCTCGACACCATTGATAACAAGAAGCAGGTCACGAAATTGATTGATTCAAGCGACCAGACAGAAAAAGTTCCAGAACAAGATCGATCCGAGAGTAAAGGATTGTCAGCATAAATCTGAGGACGCTGCAATCATTCGAGACGCCAGAGAACATGACGTTCACCGTCCTCTCCGACGCCGACATCGGGCAGCTGCTCTCGGGCCTCTCCCGCGCCGACGCCCTGACCCTGCTCGGCGTGCTCGGCGGCGCCCTAACCAGCTACTCGCTACACGACGAGCAGCAGTACCAGCCGCACCGGGCCGCCGTGTCGCGCGGCGGCGAGGGCGCCGAGGCCCAGGTCAGCCTGTTCATGCCCGCCACCACCCCAGACCTCATCGGCACCAAGATCGTCGGCGTGGCGCCCTCGGCCCCCAAGAAGGACCAGAAGCAATCCACGGACGACGGCGAGTCCAAGTCCAAGTCCAAGCCGCCACCACCGGGGCTCAAGAGCGTCCTGACGCTGTGCGACGCCACGGGCCAGGCGGTCGGCGTGCTCAACGCGGCGGAGCTGACGGCCTTCCGCACGTCCCTGGGCTCGATGCTGCTGTACCGCTACCGAGAGCGGACGGACAGCGTCGTCGTCTTCGGCGCCGGCAAGCAGGCCGCGTGGCACATCCGGCTGGCGCTGCTGCTGCGGGGCCCGGACATCAAGCGCATCACCGTCGTCAACCGGTCGCGGGCGCGGACCAGGGCGCTCGTCGACGGCATCCTGGCCGACGCGGGCGGCGGCGGCGGCGGCTTGGCCAGGTGGGGCTCGAGCGCGGAGCTCGACGTCTTTGACGACGCGCGGGGCGACCGGGACGCCGCGATCGAGGCGCTGGTGCGGGAGGCGGACGCTATCTTCTGCACCACGCCGGCCACTTCGCCGCTGTTCCCGGCGTCCTACCTCACCTCCGAGCAGGGCCGGGCCAAGAGCCGGTACATCAGCATGATTGGGTCGTACCGCCTGGACATGCAGGAGATCGACCCCGAGTTCTTCAAGGTGTTGGTCGACCCCAAGGGAGTGCTGGCTGGGCAGGGCCACGATGGCGGGTTCGTCGTTGTCGACAGCCGGTCCGGGTGTCTGCAAGAAGCTGGCGAGCTGGTCAAGGCGGACATCAGCCCTGAGAAGATGGTCGAGGTCGGCAAGCTGCTGCATGACAAGGAGAGCAAGGGCGATGCGGGTTTGAGCAGCTGGCTGCAGAAAGGCTTGGTGGTGTACAAGAGTGTGGGCACCGGTGTCATGGACCTGTCGATCGGCAAGGCACTGATGGATTTGGCCCGAGAGAAGAATGTCGGGACACTGTTGGAGAACTTTTAGCCACAGAAAGTAAATAGATCGATACCTCAAAATGGCCATCTGGTGACAAGTGCACATGCGAGTCTCGACAACATCAGGCCGGGTGCCAGCAGTAAGTAAGTCGACTGACGACGCGCAGACAAATGTGAAGAGCGCGTACTTGGCCGTCCCCAACACTTGTACAAGACATATCAAACTTAACGAAAGAAGAAAAAAGTAAGGATAATATCAAACCGTACGCGAAATCCAAACTGATGTCATCAGTCCAGACAGCCAAACATTCACAGCAAAAATGTTGATAGGACGTGCAAAAAAAGAAACTCTCCGATACGGGGAATCGAACCCCGGGCTCGGCAGTGAGAGTGCCGGATGTTAGCCACTACACCATATCGGAATGGTACCGTACCGGAAGCTGGCTGCCCGATTCGGATGTGGGAGGTCCTCCCTTAAGTCGTTATATGCAGACTAGGCAAACCCGAAGTGGGTCACTCCTGGACCACGGTTCTACCTCCCAAGCAAGTTGCAATCTTCACATCACGAATCCTCATACACCTGCAATTGAACAGTACTGTAGATCAAAGTCTATTCGTCAATTCATCAGCACCCCAGGCAGTCTAATGTATGTAGCTAGCCACGGAAATGGGTATCTTGTATCAGTCAGTCAAAGCAAATAAAAAAAAAAAAAGAGAGAGAAAATGCAGTAACCCAATGTGCCAACCCAGTCCCAAATCAATCAAGTCACATATGAGTCGTTCCCATGCTTTCCATTCATCACACAGCCCTGACCGAGACCCTCCCGCCCTCCTCGTCGCCGACCACAACCACGGCGCCATCCTCCTCCGCCTCCTCGCACCCGACCAGGCCCTCGGCCTCCTCCTCCTCCTCCTCCTCCGCCCTGAGGATCTGCCGCAGCCGCTCCCGCACCATGGGATCCTGCTCCATCTCCTGCCACATCCCCAGGTCCAGATCCGCCGCGCTCTCCTCCTCCTCCTCCGGCGCCGCCGCCGCCGCCGCCACACCGCTCCGGCGCCTGCTCCTCCCCCGCGCGCCGCCGCCCCAACGGCCGCAGCAACAGACCAGCGCCCTCCTCAGCGCCTTCCACGAGCCCCCGCCCGTGGCGACGATGTTCCGCCGGAGCACCTTGAACGACGTCTCGGCGATCGTCAGGACGCCCAGCACCGCCAGCGCCGTGAGCCACCAGACCGGGTCGGCGCCAAACGTCTCGGCGAAGCCGTTGCGCACCGCGTACGGCGACACGCCGGGCGGGTAGATGCCCGAGAGGAACCCGTTCCAGGCCCACCAGCCCGACGTGGTGATGAAGAAGGCGACCAGGACGATGACCGTCTTGGAGTACGTCTCGATGATACTTTGTTCGTAAGAATATTAGCGGGGGGTTTGGTTGCTCTCCTGTCTTGACAGAATGTTTGAAAGAGAGAGAGAGAAGGGGGGGGGGGGGGG